TATATATAAAGAAACTTTACTAAGTGGTATATAGAACATTTGACCCAAGATTCGGGGTTAAAAATTTTCCATTTACAAGGCCAAATTCTCTATTCCTTATCTTGGCAAGTGTCCAATTTGGGTTAATATTCTACCTTCAGGAAATGTCATCTTAATCTTCTCTCCTTATTAGGATATTATATTAAAACAGAACTTAAAAAAAAAAAACCTTGAAAGTTATTTGATGCTGGAAGAATACCAATTTCTTTAACAATAACAAAGCTCATATAATAAAAACCATCAGGTTTGGGATATTTTATGAAAATGTTTAATTCAACTGTTTCTTTGGAATGTAGTAGTCATAGTTTGGAATTTAAGTTACAGTTCAGTTCTATGTGGTTTTTATGCTACTCAGTGTCTGAGAATACAAATGTCATTTAAAGTTAAGGCTTCGCTGTTCATTTTGAAACAACAATTTACAAGTGTCATATTGTCATAGAAAATAAAAATTTCTGTAAAAAAAATTTGCACAAAATTTTATGATGGTACAAAACATGAAGCAATAATATACCAGTAAAATGAAAACATTTTACTACAGGAAGTTTTATAGATTTCAATAAAGAAAAAAATATGTTATTTTACACCTTTAAAAATTACGAAACAATCTAAAACAATATAAACTAAACATTTTGTAACACTGCCTTTACAAATTAATAACTTTATAAACATATAATTTTTAAATATATTTATCAGTGCAAGATACTTTAAATTTTTAAAGTTTCAGTATCATTTTTCCTTGGCTGAGGACAACTTTAAGTCCATTGCCTTAAGAGAAAAAATCAAGTCTTAGCGCTTTTGTCCTTGTGTGATTACAACAAGTGAATGAATGCCTCTGTGGACAAAAGTCTATTCTTCTTTCAAATTGATCAATACATTCCTGGAAACGAAAGACATTCTCAATCCAATTAAACCAAGATGAATGGACTGTCTTCTCCATGATGCAAATGTGACTCCCACAAATGTATCTGAGTGAGACCTATCGCAATGCAGGAAGGGAGAAAAATCTAAAAGTTCTTATGTACAACATGGCATGACACAAATAGACTGAAAACAACTAAAGCTTCTTTGGATTAATTCACATGCTGTCTGATAAAATATTTACTTCTCTGAGCTGTTAGAGGCTTAGGTCTTACCAGACCCAAGGCAGGCTTTTTCTTTGTAAGCAACTGGAAGTTTCTAGAAGCATTTATTCAGGTCTCTGTTTTTTCAGGGTTGCTGCTGAATGGATTTTTAAAAACATTGTTTTGACTTTACTAGTCCCTCCCCCTACTCCTTATCTGAAAATACTTTATCGCCAGGCACCAGATTTATAGTTGCTTTCTTAAATTAACTGTCCTTTCTTCCACTTCCTTTGTCTGACTCAATACCAAAACAAGAAGGTTCTCATGGGGTCATTTTTTGCATATATGGATGTAAAAATCTCATGTTTGTGGATATTTGCAGAAGAGTATTTAGTCCTTCCTTTTGGTCTCACTTGAAAGCCAATTAATATTATTTCTTCTTCCAACTTATTATTTCCATTGAATACAAATATTTCTATCAAAGATCGTTTTGAGTGAATTAGACAGACAAATGGCTTAAGGAAAAAAGATACTGTCACTTTAACCAGTTAACAAGAAAACCAAAGTTAGACTTTGGAGGGCAGAGTTAGGAATTTCCCTTATTTATTTTGAAACATAAAGTCTAGTAAAATTCTTTGCCATTACCAGCAGGTTAAAGCTGCAAGTTTTTTTTTTTCTGGACAATGGCAGATGCTTAAATTCTAAGAGAGAAAAAGGACAGAGAGATAGGAGAGAAAGAGTTTACATTTGAAAATACATTCCATATGAAAGAACGAGAGGAGAGAATATTGCAGCTTTATACAAAAGGATCAAGAGACATGAAATAGAACTACAGAAAAAGCAGAACGATTAAGCCACATTGCCAAATCTTCGGAGCCCTTGCCTTCCCGGGGGCTGACGTATCACACTAAAATATAATTTCTCCTTAGTCAGTGGGCCACCAGGGTTTGATTAGAGAGTAGGGCTTTCACCAGCGAGGAACAGAGCAGGTCATTAATGTAACATAATGAGAACCGGTACAAACAAAAAGGCACTTGAGAGGACATGGACTAGCCAGTGCCAAGGGGTTTTCAATGTGGTTGTCGACAGCACACCCAGTTGTCAGCAGTGTTTGGTGATGGCACAGTTTTCTGTATGGAGTTCACAAGCACGAGGTTTAGTACAACACTGGAAAACATCAAGAAAATTTGACGGTATTGCTTCGTAAACAGAGCTGACACACTATACTGGTACTGAGGCTACAGGACTTTAAAGTAAAACATCCTAATCCTTCTTCGCCTATGAACGACGCGGGCAATTATACACAGGCACAGCTTCAGGAGTCCACTGGAGTGCGGCTATTCTAATATACTCTGGGCACTGGGCTACAGGCAGCGTGTCCGTCAGAAGGGCCCCACCGAATACACTTGGTGCCAGCATCTTGGATTTTGCACAGTTTCCGAAAAGAATCCATATAAGGAAGAGGAGAGAGAAAGGGAGGGGAAGTCAAAATGAATTATTAAGTCAATCATACTTGGTCTCAACACCAGCATTTGATTATTCAAATTAAACCAACAGGAAAAAGCCGACTATACATGATCCCAACTGTTAACGCAGCTAACGCGTTCATGTCTGTCGGCCATGCTCATTGAAGCTCCTGAGAAAAGCCTGGCTCAGCGTCATCAACGCATTTCCCAGCCTGTACAGTGAAAGAAGATCAACACACGCAAGTTATGTCCTTCCACCTTGATTCTCATCTTCTCATCTGTCTGCCTTCATGCCTCCGAATAAGTACTCTGTGTGTTCAGCTTGTCTTTTTTCAACTTCACACCATCCACAAGTTCAAAGTTATAGTTCTCCAGGGCAGATAAGTTTCTTTCTGACATCCCGTTATGCCAACACGCACAATACAGCACGACCCCACAGACAGCACCCAGGAGGACACCCAGGGCGCTCATGGCTATGATGGTGATGAGGATGGGGTCCAAGGTCTTCAGCACGTTGCCTGGCTTCCTGGAGATGTTCTCGTCACCTTCTCCAGTGCCCTCGTATCCTGGGGTGCTCCCTGGGGAGAAAAACAAAATTGACTCCATGAGTACTGCCAACATACCAGATGAAGGTAGAAAAATAGAGAAAAAAGAAAGGAAAAGGAGAAAATCACATGCTTGTTTTGTCTATCCTCTCCCCCGAGCCTGTGGGGAATTTCTGAAGTGGGGTTTCGCTCCCCCATTACTGGGAAACACCCAGGTTTGTGTTTCATTAATTGTTGGGAATCGAGGTGTCGGAAGTGGAGGTACTGGGGAGCTGTGATGGCTAGCTTAGAGCACGGAAACAACCAATTCTGGATGAACAGTGAGGTTTATGTTCTAATCTAATTCAGATTTCATGCAGCTGCCATCTGTGCTAGATTGTAATTTGTGATTTTAGTTCGTGGCCAGAAATGCAGTCACTAAGCTTTGTGAAATGCTCAGTCACACATTTGTCTAGTAGGAGATTTAACCACTCCCTGTGTGCTTGCCTGATCCCCAACCAGGCAAGAGGAAACCTTCTGAGCTGCCCTTTCATGGGGTGCTGGGTCCAGCCTCTGGCACAGTTCACACATGTGTTTGTTCTTCCACATGTAAGATCTTCAAGTCAAGCAAGTTTCCCCCTAAGTCTACAGTGGTTTCACTCAAGAAAAAGACATCTTTCAGGACCAGAGAATGTTTGCTGCTGACATTTAAAAAGAGTGATGGCTCCAATCTAGAGACAGTGTCTGTGTTGTGCTGAATAGAATACATTTAATAATCAGCATCTTTGCAGCCCTGGTAGTTTCACTGGAGACAGTCTTACTGCCCTGCAGTTCGGTCACTAGGGAAATGTTTTATTTAGAGTGGAACATGAGAAATTATGAACATGGGAGCTTTGAGCCTAATTACCTGGTACTAGAAACAAGACTAAAATGTTAATGTGCAACGTGCATGGTGTTTACTTAGTGGTGTTCTGATCAACAAAGTTTCCAATCAAAGAAAACTAAATATATGAGATGCAACTCCCTAAACAGGGGCAAACAAGCCATGGGGGCATATTAATATTCTCTCCCTTGATGAAACATTGTTTTGAAACCACCTCTAATAAAGTTCACATCTCAGAGCGAGCTATGCAACTAAGCTAAATGAGCCATGTGTTAATATTACTAACAGCATAGCATAGCGCCATATTTATTTGTCTCTACCAAGTTAAGTTTAGCTATAGTAGGACCACATTGATAAAGGCAGTAGATGCTGATATTGATGGGTAGGGCACAGAGCTGTGGCAGCAGCTGAGAGTGACATTGGGGCAAGTGTCCAATGACCCTTCCGGAGGTGCAGAAACTTCAGGGAATAAAATAGCATCAGACAAGGCCTTACTCCGATCAAATGCCTTGAATTAGGTCACAAAGCAGTGTTCAAAGAAAACACATTTTCAAGTTAATCAGTCTCAAGTCTGAAGCTACCACCTAGTTAGCTGTGCTACTTAAGGCAAGTCACTGCTCTGAATTTCAGGCTCATCATCTGAAAAATGGGACTAAATATACCTCAGAGAGCAGCTAGGAGGATTAAAAAAGATAACGTACATAAAGTCCTTGGAACACACTAGCTCCTCAATAAATCCTTACTATCACCATCATCATCACCACCACCATCACCGTCGTCGTCGTCGCCATCATCATCATCATCATCATCACAAGACTAGGGTTCCAGTAGAAGAGGATGGGAACATATGGACTAAACTCAACAGATTATCACAGACATTGGGCTCTAGTCCTTTAAAGATCATATTTGGATATCAACCAGGCACAAGCCTTTGGGTTGGTTTCAAATTACTGTATGAAAATTATTATAGGTCTTTGGTAAGACACAACCTTCACTAGTTTTCTAATTCCATAATTATAAAATGAGACTGGTTCACTTGACTATCTTCTAAGTTCTCTTTCAGCTCAGGGACGGGAGGACTAGGGCTGGCACCCTTGCAATGGCTTACACAAGAGGCTCCCCAAGTCTTCAGGGCAGCTTAGGAGAGGGTCCTGCATGACAACAATCCAATCCACAGTACCATGGGCAAAGATGTTTATTTTATTTGCATTGCTTTGATATACTGGTGTACTAGAGTTCCAGAAACTTTCTTATAGATATAATGAAAGCCACAGAATTGAAAAAAATATTTGTCAGGAAGACAAATTTACCTGTTTCATCTATTTTATTTTCCGGGTTCTTTTTATCCAGGTCTGCCGGTCCTGACAAGTCAAACAAAATTGAAAGAGATATTTGAACTATCAACAAAATACAATACATACAAACTACATAAACCCTACACACACACACACACACACACACGCACACACACACACAAATGGCTCAGCTAGGTTCGCTTTGGAATTTTAGTATAATTGACTCGACCATGTAACTACAGAGCAATAGAAAGGCGGTGTGCAATTACTATGACGTTGATGTCACATCTAAATCCAGGTAGCCCTTCTGTTAGCCGAGTGTTTTAGGAGAAAGGTAGAGAGAAATGGTTTTGGCATCTGGAGTGTGGGAGAAATCTGGTGAAAATAGGAAATGGAAGTGGGATGTTCACATGGCTACCAGCCTGTGCTTTTGCAGGTAACGGTTTCCTAAGTTCGTTGAGTGTTAGTTTGGTATCCCAAATAATGTGCCAGCAACTGTGTCCTGTGTTTTACTGAAAAAAAAA